CCCTCTCCCACTCCCCCTGCTTGTGTTCCCTCTCTCGCTGTGTCTCTCTCTGTCAAATAAATAAATAAAATCTTTAAAAAAAAAAAAAAAAGAGTAACGGCTAACAAGAAAAACTCTAGCATTAAAACAGGTTTGGATCCAACACCCAATCTTCCAACCAGAGGCTATATGGCTTTAGGTAAGTTGGCTTCCTTCTCTAGGACTTAGTTTTCTCATTAGTAAAACTGGGATAATACCTGAGTCTAGCTCAAAGTGCTATTGTGAGTGCTTTCAGCATACCCACCTTGGGGCTAGCAAATATTCAAATGGACAGCAGCAGAGCTGAGATGAGGACAATCACTATTATCTGTCTCAAGCTGGAGGCGGGTGTAGGACCTTCCCCACCAAGAGGAAGGACCATGTTTAAAGTCATCCCCACAGGATGAAAAAAAGAGAGGTACATACACCAAAATGTTTCATTACCTCTGGGTGATGGGATTACATGCAATGTTTGTTCTGTTTTTGTGTGTGTGTGTGCTTTTCTGCACTGTGTATATACAACTTACTAAGAAAAATGTTATATGCGCTGAAAAGATCTGATCCATCACCTAGAAGCAGCATCTAGCACAGAGTTAATGCCCTATAAATATCTACTAAATGAAGGAATTTCTACACTGTGTTTGGTTTTGCAAGCATGTTTATATGCATTTATTGCTTTGCTTCTCATAATCACTTCTTATAGGGCATATTATTATTATTGTACCTAGAAAATGAGACTGAGTTCAGAAATAACAAAATAGGGACTGGGCTGGAACTTAAAACCAAAACTTCTAACTTTCCAAATTCAGAGTTTTCTTACTACACTAGTAAGCACTAAAAGTGGACTCCTACTCACATTCCCGTCAGAAAGCTGAATCACTTGTACACTGCTTGAGAGGGGGCAAGCAAAGAATAAAGAACTGTAATTTTTTTTAAAGTTTCATTAATCCTTTCAAACCATGGGGAAAAAACCTGAGTACAGTATATCTATTTGTTTAATCCTCATTTTAATTCTGTAAAACAAAAAACTCACTGTCTCTATTTTATAGATGAGTAAACTAAAAACATAGAAGTTAAATAACTTGCCTAAGATCACACTGTTAGTAAAGCAGCAGATCCAGACAGGTTTCAACACCAGGCAGTTTTGAAAAAGATAAGGGGTAAGGTCAAATAAGTTTAAAAAAAATACGGTCAAGGAGTTAAAAAAACAAAAACTTGGAAAAGGTAATGATATAATTTATCTCAATTCAAAGGATCAATAAGCCTTCACCTATGGGACAAATAAAAGCATGTTCTTGATTATTCGAAATTCTAGTAATTACAAGCAGTTTTCTCTTGTCAAATACCATTGTAAACCTATATTATTAACGTTGTTTTAACATATATATTCGGCTTTCAACTACAGGAACCTTACAGCACTGTTCTACAATAAGTGCTTCTTAACTATGTAAAACAAAAAGGCTAAGGCATTAGTGATTTTTGTTTTTTAGCAAAGAGCACATATAAAAATACACCATCGCCCAAAATGACAACTCCGGCAAAAGACCACTACCAAGGGAGTTCTCCCCTTTGCTAGCTACAATTTACAATCACATAGGGACCTTTTAAAAAACCAATACACAGCACCCACTCCAGACCAATTAAATCAGAATATCTGGGGGTGGGTAAAAGTGTATTTAAAAGCTCCCCAAGTGATTCTAATGTGGAGCCAGGGTTGAGAACCACTGTTTTAAGGAAATCTAAACCCTCTGTTATTACTTCATCCAGAGCTTTTGTCCATAATGGTCTGAAAAAGTATTCAGTCAACTTATTCAGCCAATTTGCAAACAACCAGGAGAGTAAGATAAATAGGACCCCTCAACTACTAAAAGGGGTATTAATTGTGTGCACTTAGCCCAGATTAGACAAAGATGAGGCAAAAGGATTCCATTAGTGTTCCAGATAATAGAGTAACTTCAATTAACATATCAAATATGCCAATGACCAAGCTACTGCTATTTCTCAAACCCTAGATTTTACCATCTGTGAAATGGTGCCATGCTAATGGACTCAAGAGCCCAATAATTCCAGAAGAGCAACACTGAAACAACTAAACCTTGAAACTAAAAGACCCACCTGTATCATCTTTTTAAAAAACTAAACAAAGATTACTTACACTGGACTTTAAAAATGTATACTTACTGGCAAAGAAAACCTTTTCATGCTTTCCTACAGAGAGTATCTCTGAAAAGTCAAGATTGCCATAAGAACTCTGAAATTCAAACTCCTATGCCAACATTTTTGTATTTGGTTACTTATAGTTTCACAGGAAAATGAAATAAAATAAGCTTCAAAATCAAGTATTAAAATATCCTGTTGTGTTAATCAAAAATATTACTACAGGTCCACATCCTTTTTTCAAAACCCTTGAGGAAATATGTATTTCAGAATTGTTAAGATTTCAGAAAGACAGTACAGTGTCTCTATCTTTACAAGCCCTCGAGGGTCTAAAACAGCAGCAATAATCAAACAAATTAATATTCCAAATTAATATGCCATATTAATGACTATTTTCTAAGTGAGAAGAATCAAGATTTTAAGTAGCCTCCTGTTGATACAAGTCACCAAATTATTTTGCTGCAAACATCTGAAAAAAAAAAAAACCTTTTTCAGAGCTTTGGGTGAACCTATTAATTCTAAGATTTCTCTTTGATATTCAAGACATTGCAAACTGAACTTCAGAAAAAAAGTCATTATGATAAAAACATCCTTTTAATAGCACTGTAATCCTAAAGAAACAACTCAATTATGGTAGATACACAAAAATAGTCCAAGTGGTCTCCACCAATTTTCATGATGAATAGCTTTTAAGTGTCCACCTCAATCTTCACAGGGCAGTTGTGAGCAAAACCAAACAAATGCATCAACACATGCACATTTACTAAGGCAAGCCTGAAGGAAAGAGCCAGAGGTAAAGTAGGGGAAAATCAACACCTTTCTATCTAGGAATATGGAGACAACAGAGGACTTTGAAGCTAAGCAGACTGAGCTCCACCACGAAGAAGAAAGTTACTTAAGCTCTCTAAACTCCAGTTTCTTCACATAAGGATAGAGATAATAGTAATAGTACCTACTTCAATGTGTTTTAAGAGGATTAAATAAAGTGACATTTGAAGGCCATAACTTATAGTCACTATTAATTCCCTACCACTTTTCCAAAGACCAACTATATGCTGAAGGAGCTCAAGTATAACTTGCCTGTAAGTTATCAGGCAAATTTCATAATTTCATAAATAAAACCCACCATAAAAATAGGACTTTCAAATTTCAGAAATCCAGTGTAGATTAAAATGACTAATTTCTGAAACCAGCAGCTTCTCGTAACACATTCTAACCAAACCTACCTACTCTCCCAATACCCTTTTGTCTTCGACACAACCAGATGCACACACAAAGGGTTAAGTGAAAATAAACTACTATACTGAAAAGTGCATTTTTAATTCAAAATAAAATTATTAGAATGGCATAGGTTTTGCAGATAAGGGAAACCATTACAATATTAAGACTTAATCATTTATATAACCACTGTCCAAAGAACCCATTTAAATTTAAATACACTTAGGAAAAGAAGGCACAAGAGTCCAAAATCCAATTTTCATAAACTATCCACTGAATAAGAAAACTGGTAACTTTGGGCAGATTTCTGCACCTAATGGATATTTAAACTATAGAATGTACTAAAAAATGGAATCCTTTGTTATTTATCCTAAACTCAATTTAATTCCATTATGCAACTCAAGAATTTTACAGGGCATTTGAGTCAGTCTTAAAGCATAACAAGTTCTGAGCTGATTCAATGCTTCACTGTTAACAATCTCCCCCAAACAGAATATATAACCTGGACAACCTAGACTTCCATCACACCCAACTTCAAAGAAGACATTTAATCAAGTTAGCATACCTCCTTTCCCTAAATGTTAATACTCAAAACCTACTAGTTACTGTTAAATAACCTATTAGGGCCTGGCAGTTCCATCAGCTTTAAGATTATCACTTGTCATATATCTTAGTACAGTGCAACATAAAATGCCTCGAAAAGAATCTATATTATTTTGTGTTCTAATCCCACGTGTTTAATGTGAAAAGATTTAGAACTAAAAGCGAATGGACCAGCTACCTAACAACTACCTACTAGACTTAATCCTTCATACTTGCACTTTTTCCGCCATGAACAGGAAACTCCAAAGAAAAGGAAATAGAGAACAGCCTATTGTTGCTAAGGGGAATAACTGCATTGCTTCCAACCCCACAATGTTAGTGAACAAATGAAAAAGCAACAGGGGAAAGGGACGGGGGGAGGGGCGACTGGTGAGCTCAGTTGGGAGTCCAAAGCATGCCACCCAGCTCAGACGGTGCCCAAAACATCTGTAACGACAGCTGCAAGAGGGAGACAGGGGTGTGAGGGAAGAGGACCCTGGCTAAGGGGCTCAGAGTTGTGCCTGCACATTCGGCTTCCTCCTTTGCCAACTCTTCTCTCACCTCCCAATTCCCATCCTCCCCATCCCATCCTGCTCCCTCCATATAGAAAAATAACCAATAAAATCAGAGGCAGAGAAGACAAAGAGGCAGGAGGAGGCTGCAAGGAGCGCCCAGAACAATGGGTGAGAGGGAGCGAAGCGAAACTCCTGAAAAAGACAATGAAACGGGGGATGGAGAGGAGCTCCGAGAGGAACCGAGGGAAACACCGCCGAGCCGGGCCCCGCCAGCGGCGGACGCCTGGACGCTAGGCTCGGCCGGGCTGGATGATCACCCCGACGCTGGGGGCTGGGCTGGGCTGGGCGGGGGCGGCGCGGCCCAGAGGGGCCGGCGGGGCCTGCGCGGGTCCGCGGGCAGCTGCCGGCAAGACTCACCGGCATTCTGGTCTCGGGGCCAGAGGTAGTATGTGGCCGGGATCACGATGAGCCCCACGAATGAGGTGAGGAAGTAGAAGAAGGTGTTCCCGCTGTCATCGTACTGGAACTGCTGTCCCGCCATGGCACCCCCCCCTCCGCCTCTCTCTTCTCACCACCGCCGCCACGACCCCGCTCTGCGCTCCAACACCCAGCACCCCTGCCCTGTGTGGCGTAGCTCGGACGCTGCCGCCGCCTCTCCTCCCCGCCCCCACGCTACTCTCAGGGACACGCCGCTGCCACCGCCGCTGCCGTCGCCAACTCTCGCGAGAAGAGATAGTTCCCGCCCCGTTCGGTTTTTCCCTCCCTCTGACTCTCCCCTACACACTTGCTAAGGGAGACGTGGCGCGCGCAGCCGTGGAACTCAGAGATGTCCCGCCCTTGATCCCGCCCCCAAGCCACAGCCCCGCCCCTCGCGCTTCTGTAGATCCTCCCCTAGAGCTCCGCCCCAAACCTTAGAGTTCACCCGCTCTCCCCGCCCTTTTTCCTCCTCCTCCTTTCCCAGCGTCCCACCAGGGTCTCGGGGGTCCCAGCAAAGACTCGCGGAACAGTGGGTACGCGGGGTTTACCTGGCTGCTCCTGGAGCCGCAGCTTTTCCGAGCAGAGCTGAGGCTTCCTTGCTTCTCCCTTCTCCCATCCTTACCTCACCTTGTCGCTTATTTAATTTCCCTGGTTGATAATACTTCTTTAGGTTCCAGATCCGTTCCTCCAGTCCGCACATTTTGAAAACAAGGGTCATTCAGAATTGGGCGGCGCGAGTGGGGGTGGGGGAGGGTTGTTGTGGTTTGTTTGCAAAGTAATGTTTGCTACCAAAAGACTGCGAGCTACACTGCGCCCATTTTGCAGATGGAGATGGAGATGCAGATGGAGATTCTCCCAAGCCCATAGAGACAGTGATCTACCCATCCCAGAGGCAATACTTTTAGACACTTTTAGACACCAGGTCACCAGTGTTTTCTTCAACCCAGGCAGTAGGCTAAGTAAGACCTTTATTGCTTTTTTTTTTTTATGAAAAGCAGGCAGGTAAGAACAGCCTTGCAAAGCATGACCACTCCTCCCAGGGAGAGCTGACTCCAGGATAAAGGAGGCTGGAGTGTGGAGAAGGAAGGGGGATTCAAGGACCACCAGGCATGCTTGGAAATCCTGACTCATGGGGATGACATCTGCTAAACTCTCCTGTTTGTGGTTAGCCCAGGCATCACTCAGAATGGGGTGAAGATTCACACGCTCCTTTTGGGAAGGAAGACTCGTGTCTTGTTCTGCTCAGGCTGCCATAACAGCATACCACAGAGACTGGGAGCCTTAGACTACGCACATTGATTTCTCACAGTTCTTTTTTTTTTTTTGGAATATGAATATATTTCTTTATTAGGATGCTCACAAGAAATGACACACTGGCACTGTCCTTCTGATGTGATAAAGAATACATACATCTGACCCACATCATGGCAGGAAACAGGAGTCAGGGCTCTCAGAGCTGGTACCAAGTGTCCACTGAAGACATCTCCATTCCTTGATTCCAACCTCTCTGCTGTAGCTTCCAATCAGGTCTCTGTGACTTGCCCAGACTTCTTCACTCCAGCATCAGCTGACCCTCTTTTTTTCTAGCCACTGTGGACTCCTTCAAGACCTAGGTCAGCTGCCTCACGTCTAACTGGCCCAGGCAGCCTCTGGAATTCTGCAGCACATCTCTTTGGTATGCTGCTGCCCCGCCACCCTCAGGGGCATGGTTGGGAGTTGGGGGTGAGGGGGAATAACATCACATGACCAAAGCAGACAGCAGGCGTGTATTGGCAAATGACACTTGGACATACACCTAACAACCTCACAGAATACATGCTTTCTCCCCAAATGATACATAACCCCCTAGAGGGCAAACACATATGGAATGATTCTGTACTCCAGGCACAAGGGATACAAAGTGAATGGCATTTACATCCATCAGGTCCTACACACAACAGGAAGTTAGTGCCTGAATGTTGGAACCAGATCTCTATCCTGGCTCTTCCCTGCCTTTGAATGGTGTCACCACTCTGTTTCCACCTGTTTTCAGCATTAGTTCATTTTTCAAAAGAGAGGATAGGACGGCAGAGAGAGTAGAATGGGAGATTGGGGTGGGGGGCTAATATGTGGCTAACAACCTATACAACAAAACAAAAATAATACAAAAATGCAAAACCCAGATTTAGTACTAGAATCTAATGAGAAGGTAGCTGGAGAAACTACACGCCGACACAGACAAGCCCCTTGGAATAAATCAAAGCATGCTCGTTCTCCAGATGAGGAAATTGAGGGTCAGAGAGATTGCCTAAAGTCATGCATAGTAAAGAAAGGTCTGGGGATTCAAACTCAGATCACTCTGATGCCACAAAGCCGGTGCCTTTGGCCACCACATCGTCATGGACCTTAACATTTCCCTCGGAGCGGCTGGCTCTCCTTGCAAGGTGTGGGCATGATATGTGCTTCTAAAGGGACGGCTAAGGAAGCAGTAGCTCTCAGGAGCCTCTCTCTTGGCTGCCTCTGAGGTCTCAGAGGCCAGAGTCAGCTGAGCTGGGAGCAGGAGGACTGGTGCCCTGATCTGGGAATGACCCCACGGTCCCACTGCAGCCCCGCCTGAGGCTTATCCCAGTGTCTCCATCTTGCCTCTATGGATCAAAAGGAAAGACCCACCCGAACTACCTCACGGAGTGGTTGTGAGGATTAAAGTGAATTATAGTGAAAATGCTTTGAAAAAATGTAATAAGAAAATACCACACATTACACTGTTTTTTTAAAACACGTTTTAAGACTACAATCTATTTACTAACTTTCTTTCAATATGCCTTCCATTGTTGGAAGAGAAATCTGGTCACATGTCTTTTATTTTATGTCCTCAAAACTAGCATTTATCATAATCGGTAAAGCTTTTCTTCATAATGGATTATTTTCACATGTATTGTCTCTTCCCTTTCAAGTGTCCTACCTACCCATTTTGAAAGGAAATTTTTAAAAATCGTCTTCTCTGCATTTCCCTCCTCACTTTTTCTATATAAAGTTTTCAAAGGCTGTATTAGAGGTGAAAAAATAAAAGAGAAGTGAGGGGAAGAGGATTGAACTATGAAGTTAGCACCACATTCTGATTACCCCAATGCAGATATGCACGGAACAATTTGCCTTGCTTCAGAAACAAATTAGCCATAAAATTGCCTCAACTGAAGTGGGTGGTTCCTTAAGTTTCTTTTCTTTATGTTGAATTTGTTATTAAGTCTTCTTAGGTTTTAATAATGCTGAACAGGTTATTTTTTATTACTCTGATTATATATTTTCATCAGCATTTGTGCAAATACATCAGTTTTATAACCTTGTGATAATAGAAATTATTGATGATAAATATTCTTCTGACTTTTTTCCTGCAGGAATAATCTTTTCACTGCAGCTTTGGGTTCATGCATAAGAGTGGCTTGAACAGAACCAAACCATAAAATAATATTTTGAACAAATTGTATTTATTTGCTAACCTCCAGACCAATCTAAAACATGACTTTTTTTAAGCAGATTAAAGAATGTGAAGGCTGTTGTTGGAAAGATATTAGGGCTTGATTATGCTCAACTCTGAAATCATGAAAACAACTTTATGGAGGGATTGAGGGCTGTGGTTTGTCCTTTAGTATTGGGAGCAGGTCTATATTTTGGCTCCTCTCTTTTCATAGGTATCTTCTGTTTTTAAAGATATAAAGACATTTTATCCTAGAACTTAAGGTTACTGAACATAAATAAACTCGGATCACCCAAATATTCTCCAAAGCAAATCTGAACTATACCTTTACTTAATCACAATTTCTAATTCAGTGGTATTTTTAAATTAACACAATGGTTTCTTTCAAAGATCATTTTAATGAAATATTTAGTAATAGTAAGTGAATATGTAGAACCAGATCTACAAACACATTTTGTTCTTAATCTAACAGCATGTTTTAAAGGGCATTTTTGTATTGTCTATGTGTCTTTAAATCAATATTTTAATCAACCTCATTACAATTGCTAGGTAGATAATTCCTCTCAAGTATAGAAAGCCTCACTATTTTTAGGTTCTTCTTAATAATTTACCTTTTCCTTAGAGCAAATCTGTCCTTCATTCCAAATCATCCTCATACTGCTGGTGTTGACTTATATTTATACGTACCAAAATACATTTGTGTGGCCATAATCAATATTATTTAATATTCCATTTAATGGAATTAGTCTCAAAGAGACAGGAAAGACCCAAATTATTAGGTAGGTACATGCAATTATTTCTAGTTCTTTTCTCCCTCCCCCCACCCTACAATAATCTTCACTGCCAAAGCCTAGCAAATCATCTTTAATGTTAAACCCCTTATTACTTTGTTTCAGAGTTAGGATTTTCTTCCATTAAGAGCTAAATCTCAGGTGCCTAGGTGGCTCAGTCGGTTAGGTGTCTGACTCCTGATTTCAGCTCATGATCTCAGACTCATGATCTCAGGTCATGAGATTGAGCCCCATATGGGGCTCGGTGCTCAGTGAGGAGTCTGCTTGAGATTCTCTCCCTCTGCCACTCCCTCCGCGCTTGCACTCTCTCTCTCAAGTAAATAAAATTTTTTTAAAAGAGCTAAATCTCTTCTAATACAAAGTAACCAATTCTTTTTTATTTGTCCTAACAGAGATGAAGAGTTACCCCCCACCATAGTAATGACAAATCGTTAAACATTACATTAAACTTTGTAATCAACAAAGTAATATTTGTACAAGACTTATGATTTACAAAAAGCTTCCATGACATTATTACAGTTAAAATTTTAGATCATGACCTATATGTTGGAACTTTGACTAGATAAAATGTATCAAACCATTTTAATCCTTTCATTCCCTACCCCTGTAAGGCCCTTAGGATGCAATGAAACCACAGTCTTATACTTGGAGAGAATGTAAAGGGAGGTATGGGTTGGAAAGGTGTTAGGACTTGATTATACTCAACTCCAGAACCATGAAAACAATTTTTTAAAAAAAGATTTTATGTATTTATTCAAGGGAGAAAGAGCATGAGTGAGAGAGAGCATGAGCAGTGGGGAGGGGCAGAGGGAGAAGCAGACTCCCCACCGAGCAGGGAGCCCGATGTGGGGCTCTGTCCCAGGACCCTGGGATCATGACCTGAGCCAAAGGCAGACACTTAACCCACTGAGCCACCCAGGCGCCCCAT